CTAGTGCATCCTAAATTTAACATTAATTATTTTATTACAATAGTCATTTCTGCATTTTTGGGGGAGGTCACCTACTAACAAATGTCATTTCAGAAAATCTAACTGCTCATTTTAAATCAGTACTTTTACTTTTAATACTTAAGTACAAAAAATATCAAATACTTTAAGACTTTTACACAAGTAATATTCCTAAAGGAGACTTTAACTTTTACCAAAGTAATTTTTTTGTAAGATACTTGTACTTTTTTTTTACTGAAGTATCACTTTGTGGTACTTTATGCAACACTGCCAAATGGTCACAAACATGAACCTGGAGGAATAATGTTTATAAGTAAAGGAGATGGTTTGCTGTCAGTTGACTTTGTTTCTGTTGCCCCAAGTGGTGAGAAGCAGTCATTGCACAAAGGTTGTTTCACCAGTTTATTCTGATGCATCAGAATTATTATATGAGGTCAGGGCGGCACGGTGGAGCAGTGGTCAGAGCTGTCGCCTCTCAGCAAGAAGGTTGCAGGTTTGTCTCCTGAACCGGAGCCTTTCTGTGTGGAATTAACGTGAACGAGTGGGTTTTCTCCAGCCACTCTGGTTCCCTCCCAATAGCCAAAACAATACGTTTGGTTGACTGGTGACTCTAAATTGTTCGTAAGTGTGAGTGAGAGTGTGAACGTTTGTCTCTATGTGGACTGAACGAGGACTGAGGTGGAAGTGGGGTTGTTGTAAATCAGACATTCACCAACTTTAGATCTAAAGGTTCAAATCTGATTTCTAGATAAGAACAAAGGTCCAGAACTGTTAGTTTAACCAGTCATGAGTCCACTGTACTCTTAATACACAACTGGCAGACCTGAGAATCTGCATGTTCTGTGTGATGTCTAACATTGTAGGGTTGTGCTAACACAGCCCAGGTCACAACATCCATCAGCAGGTGGCAGAGTTCTAGCACTCTACATCAGTGGTTCCCAAYGTTRGGTTTGGGACCCCTGTGTGGGGGTGGGCTTCTTGAGAAGATCTACAGAAATTGACTTTAAAAATGATTGTCAATAGCACATTTAGCCCTAATTGTTAGAGATGAAAATGACATTGAGTGCAAAGAACCTCCCAATGTCCACTGATACGTTTATCATTGTACCTTGACCGCTGTCAACTCAGACATGGAGTTCCTGGAGGTTCTSCTCGAGGGTCTCAACCGAGTCCTCCTGGTGCGAGGCGGTGGCAGAGAAGTGATCACTATCTACTTTTAATTTTATTTTTTWAAAATCCTATAACAAACTCCTCCTGTCCGTCACTGCACTCATGGACATGCTGCCATGAATACCAGTCACCAGGTATTTTTTGGAGTGAAGAAACCCAATTTTTATTTTATTTTTTTAATGAAGGGTAGGGGTTCACCTGGGACTGACGGGTGGTCTGAAAGGAGTCAGAAGACAACGGTGTGACTGGCTGAAAAATAAAAACTGAAACACGTGGATGTGGGCCACAGAACCCCTACACAGGAAGACTGAGACACTTTATTTGTCGTTTAACCTAAACGCTCTCATCCGTCTTTATGTTCTTTCCTTCAAGTGTTGATGTCGTTCAGTTACTGGGTGTGAAGGTCAGCAGAGAAGAAGTGAATGTCTTGATTTGAAGCTTGTTGTCGGTACGTTCAGCTCTGGACCTGACAGAAACCTGCACCCGCCTGCAGAATGGATCGGAGGTGGGGAAACTGTTGTTTTCAGAGCCCGAAAGCAAAGCGGGTGTTTATTTTTTAATGTCAGTAACGTAACGCAAATAGTTTCGACTTCTCTTTGTTAATGTTTAAATCCAAGAGCTGTTTGGCAGCATACATTAGTGAATTATTTCAATAGATTGGCTCCAAGATTTACGTATTTTAGAATAGTTGGCAATAACAACTGATGTAAAAGGACAATTTGACTTGAGGGAATTGGTGTATTTTTCTCCCCCCATACTGTTAAAGCACTGTAAACTTTGCACAGTTTTAGCACTTATTTGCTTGTGGGCTTTTACTTTTTGTTTTGAGCCACTAAGGACTCGTTTGTCAGCACCACTAAATTCTTCCAGAAACCTAGAAGAATGCAAATAGCGAACGCTTCTTCTTCTTTTTTTTGTGTGTGTGTGTGTGTTTTTATTGTTTTACTCAGCTAAAATGTTTGGCTTTCAGTCCCAGACTACGTAGATGAATGGATACGTAGGAGAAAAAAGGAAAAACAAAGTGCCAAAATGACCACAAAGAAACTGTGGAAGTATGATTATTGCATCTCATCGCAAAGCCATATTGATTTTTAGATGATATTTAATCTTTGGAAACGTTTCATCTATTAGTTCTTTTTTTTATTTATTGATGGCGCTGCTCATTTCTGCCAGAGGATTTAAATTAAATGTCTAAATGAGGAAAGTGTTTTTTTTTTTTGTTTTGTTTTTTGTTGTTGTTTTGCGTTTCAGAGTGGCAGAGAGTCAGGGATGTTGGAAAGATAAGAGGATGTCTGCCCTTTATGTGTACCTCCACAGTTTCTTCTCCTGACTAGTTATTCTGTTGTTGTTGTTGTTCTCTTTTTTTTTTTCATATTTTCCTGCTGTTCTGTGAGGACAAATATGGGCTTGTGAAATTCAATTATGAAACGTGTCTGTTATTGTTGCGTTCAGTTGTTGTTTGTTATTGTTCTTTACTTTGTAGTGTTTGTAACGATATGACTGATCTGTTATTTGAAGTGTACATTTCCAGTGTGAGTTTTACAAAAGGAGGAGGGGTTCTGTGCGACAACAGAGGTTGTCCAGTTTGCTCGTTTATTGTTGTTTTCCTCCCAACCCACAAGTAACAACTGGATCATCATTCATCATCTGGACTGAAACAAATAGATGGAGCCACCCGCTGAAAACTAACGGAGGGAAATCTGTCAACACATGAAGTTCAATGTTACTGTTTATTTCATTTTTTTTTCTTAGCTACCAAAGATAAAACAGGAGATCTCCATAAAAACCAAAATCGTTTGAATTGCAAAAGTGTGACAGTTGTAACAAATGATTCAATAAAGAAGGTTCTTGTTGTTTTTAACGTGCTTACTGAACTGAGGAGACTTTGCTTGCAAAATCTTAGCTTAGTAGATCACTAAAAAAGTTATAAAGATGCTGTGTTTTGTAAAACATAAAAAAAAAAAGCCTAGCACTCCAGGAAGGAATGCATACTGCCCGCCATATTTTATGTCCAAGTTTTAAACTGAAGCCCAGGTTTTCTTTGTTCAGCTGTTCATGTACAGAGAAACATTGGTCTTTTTTCTCTGAAACTGAAGCTTTTTCAATCTTTGTATGAGTAGATAACCAACAGTAACATTGGGAGAYAGCATTATTTGTTATTTACCATCATTACCGTCATCAAAATGAAAGTCTTACGTTCACCGTTTTGGATRTAACTGTTTTCTTGCTCCAGATTAAAATGTCTTATCGTGTCACTGAAATGCAAACATCACAGTGCTAGTGAGTGACCTGGAGACTACAGTGGATTCAACAGCATTACAGTGTAAACATGTTTTATTTCACATTCACTTGATACAATCAACACTGGAAAAATATGAACGTTTCAAGAGATCTTTCACATGTAAACAGAGCCTTGGAGTGAAACTGACTGGGTATCAGGCTTAACCTGTATTCAGAGGAGAGCATTTACTGTATGTCAAACAAGACAACTCTTATTTAAGAGGTTCTCAGGTTTCAGATTTTAAAACTTACAACAGAGCATTAAACCTGCTTGTGAATATAGGTGACCAGAGCTTCAGAGTCAGAATGTCATTGTCATTGAAACAAAATTGCTGTCCKTAAAGCTTCAAAAAATGTATAAAAAAGATTAAAAATGCCATGATAAGTCGTTCAGAACACAAATGGACTACTGCACATGATCAATGATGGTGACTCAAAAACATTAAATGTATCATGGCTGATTTTCAATAACTGTCATTCAGTGTGTCATGGCATACAGGTGAAACTAGAAAAAAGGCGATAATTTTGCGTAAAAAAAGGTTGTACACTTTTTTTAAAAAAAAAAAATACCGTTTTTCCGTTAATTTATCTTAAAAACAAGAAATGCACCACAATTGGAAAGGTCAGAGAAACAGGAGTTTGCGGCTTTTATTTTGAAATGACCTGTGGCGTTCTATTTCCGGTCCCGGTGTGGAGCCGCAGTGTGAACAGCAGCCGTCAGCACCGAGACGCCGCAGCGTTGAGAGACGCTCCGGTGCTCGAAGGCGGGCTCTGTGTCTCTGTCAGCCTGCCGCCAGACGAAGCTCCTTTCTGGGCCTTTATTTTCTAAATTCCACCGCCGCGCTCTTCTGGAGGTGAATGAAGACCGAACCCTGCTCTGCCCCGGTCGCGCTGAGACGCGGACGAGCTGAGGACCGGAATCATCGGTGCGCTTAAATATTACTTGAAAGACGGACCGGGTTTTCCGTCTTGTTTTTTGGTGATTTATTTCCGGCGGGGACAGTGTTTGTCGAGCGGCAGGAGAGAATGCAGCGCAGCGGGTGTGTTGCTGCAGGTGGATGGCCAACCTGAGCCGAGCTCGACCCGCCGCAGCAGCTCCTGGCTTCACTCGGAGCCGCCTGACGGAGTAAAACCCAAACCGCAGCGCTGAGAGGATTTTAAAAAAAGAAGCCGAGCCATGCTCCCCGGAGTCGGCGTGTTCGGCACCAGCCTGACGGCCCGGGTGATCATCCCGCTGCTGAAGAACGAAGGCTTCGCCGTGAAGGCGCTGTGGGGCCGGACCCAGGAGGAGGCGGAGGAGCTGGCCAAGGAGATGAACGTCCCGTTTTACACCAACCGGATCGACGACGTGCTGCTGCACCAGGACGTGGACCTGGTCTGCATCAACCTGCCGCCGCCTCTGACGCGCCAGATCGCCGTCAAAACGCTGGGTGAGTCCGACAGGGAGGAGGGGGAGGTGGATGCTGCGGCCCTGCTGGTGCTGCATCTCTGGATGGATGTGTGCTCCGGAGGGGGAGCGGAGTCAGGATGGAGCCCTGCAGGTGGAGGGAGCCGTCTCTGCAGCAGCTGAAGGCCCCTGTGCGTGTCTGTTAGCAAAATATCTCATTAACCACTGGGCACATTTTACTCAAACTCACAGAAAGGAATCGCTGCATGCACATCTCCAAGTGATTACATTTTAAGATTAACCTGATTCAAGATGGCTTCCACAGCTAATCAACATTAAAACACACAAAAAAAATGCCTGTAACTCAGTCAGTCTTGCAGATATGCACCTAAAATTAGGTGTGGTTATAGCAGAGACTGATTCCCAACACATATCCATAGCACTAACAAATTGCACCAAATCCTTACTTCAAAATTATCCATGTCTTTCTGTTAGCATAATATCTCACGAACCACTGGATATTCTTTAAGGAAACCTTCAGGAAATAATCAATAAAGGTTTATCTACAACTGTTTCATTTTTGGAGCCTACACAATTCAAGATGGTCGCCACAGCCAACACAACTTAAAAACACAAAAAATGGCCAAAATTCAGTCAGTTTCACAGATATCTTTGCTGAACTCAGCGTGGCAGTAGCTGTGAGTATTCCTAAACATATCCTGCAAGTATTTTTGTATTGTGTGATATTGTGTTAGAGTCAATTAGGGATGTCCCGATCCAGATATTTTGGCTCCCGATACAATCCGATTTTTTTTTTAACGATTAGTCTTTCCGATTCCGATCTGATAGTTTTATTTCTTTCCAAGTGACAAGGTTGGTAGTATTAAAGCGAGTCCTGCTGTTCCCACCACGAGAAACATCCAGTTTGCAGATTTTGCAAGATGCAGTTTCAGCATCATTGTTTTCCACTGAAAAGTGTTCCCACACTGTAGACATGGTTACATACTTGTGTGCGTCTAGACTTCTTCACAGCAGTTGTAAAGCATGATGATGCTGAAAACTGGATCGGCTCGATCACATGACTAAATCCGATTCTACCAGATTTTCAAAAAATGGCCATATCTGCCACCGATACTGAGTATCTGATCGGGACATCCGCCTAGAGTCAACACTGTTTGTCTGTTAGCAAAATATCTCATGGACCACTGAATGAGTTTTTGTGAAACTTTCAGGAAGTAATCAGTGACCGTTCATCTTCTGACAAACGTTCAGAGGCAGACCAGATTTACAGATGCAGAACTCCCAGGGAGGAGACGAGATGTTCWCAGACACCTGATCTCCATCTCAGCTGCAGAGCAGGAAGTGAAAGGCAGCATCTTCTCACTCACTGAAAGAATAAATGAAAGACGCTGCCTGAACAAACRTTCTCTTTAACCCGGCAGATAAACAACTTCCCCTTTTTAATTTGGCGTGGAGCTTTTTATCATGTTTACTGACAGGTTTACTCACGTGTGTTCCTCTGTGAAATAAGCCCAGCATTTAAGGCCTAACATGTTTTCATAGAAATCATATCGCCCGCCAGCTTCCATGTCAGTGTTCTGCTATAGAGTCATGGTGTGACGAGAAATGACTACRCAAACTTGTGTGATATTGTCACATCTTAAAAATAAAAAAGTTACCATTCAGTGTGTGTTGAGGGTGACTCTCAGCTACTACCACACCAAACTTGAGCTCAGTATCTGTAAACCTGATTCATTTCTAACCGTTTTTGTGTTGGTTAATGTGGCGGCATTCTTGAAAGGGGATGACTCCACATTTTAATCAGTTGTAGATTTCCATACGATCACAACTACCTGGAAGTTTCATGAAAATATGTCCAACCGTTGATGAAATATTTTGCTAACAGACGAACCAAATTGAATGCAATCATTAATGGTAAAAGCTTGGAAACCAAACCCGGTGTGTTGGGAATGACTCTCAGATACTGTCACTTCTAATATTTGTAAAATCTGATGAGTTGTAGCTGTTTGGGTTTTTTGATGAAGTTTCTCAGCTGTGGCGGCCATCTTGAATCTCTAAATGCAGTTGTTTTATATATTTAAATTTAGGGATTACTCATTAAAATCTACCCAGTTGTTCCTGAAATATTTAACTAAGTCTACACAGACACAGGCAAAAACATATCTGCCTCTCGCCTTTTGTGGGGATGATAAAAAGCCATGCATTTATTGTTGTCGTCGTCGTCGTCATCGTTGTCGTCGTCGTCATCAGACAGTTCGGGATGCTGTTTAGCTTGTTGAACCAAACCTGAGCAGCTAGTAGAGAGCTGTGATAAACTGACCTGTATTTGGAGTGGAGACTGTGTGCTCATGTTATGAAATGGAATTGATCTGTTTGAACTACCAGCTGGTCAGCCGACCCCTGGAGCATCAACACGTCTCTGTGTGTGTGAAGGTTTTCCACAGTCCGTTATCAAAGACTGGGTGACACTGAAAAACGCCCGTCATTCCTTGAAGGAATGCATATCACCCGCCGCCTTTTAATCCAGAGTCGTATGCTACAATTTTTGTATGATGGGGTAGAGCTGGAGTATAGCTGGAGCCTTTCTGGTCAAACATTTCAATAATATGTTGATCCCATATGGTGAGATTTTATTTACTTATGTTTTAAATATGCATTGAAGATGACTCTCAGCTACTACCACATCAAATTTTAGTTAAATWTCTGTTCATTTGACTGGGTTAGAGCTGGTGACCATCTTGAACTGATGTGAGTTGTACATCCAATGATTAATTTGTGCAAGTTTCATTCAAATCTGTTCAGTAGTTCATGAAATATTTTGCTAAAACACCAAGTTGTTGGAGTAAATGGCTCAGATTCACCAACAGATTTCATGCAAAACATACTAACTAGGGCTGCCACGATTAATCGATGACTAATCGATTATTAAAATAATCGATGACTAATTTAATAATCGATTAATTGTTTTCTTTTTTTGTTGTTTACTTTGTTTTTCTCTCCAAACTGCTTTGACATCTTCCACTGCCACAT